GACTCTTGGTTTCAGCTCAGGTCATGATCTCACTGTTTCTGAGTTTGAGCTGCATGTTGGGCTCTGGCTGACAACATGGAGCCTGCTTGTGATTCTCTCTCCCTCTCTCTATAAGCCCCCTCCCCTGCTCTCTCTCTCTCTCTCTCTCTCTCTCTCTCACTCACACACTTTCTCTCTCTCTCTCTCAAAATAATAAACTTAAAAAAAAATCTTAGGGCATCTGGCTGGTTCAGTCGGTAGAGTGTGCGACTCTTGATTTCAAGGTTGTCAGTTTGAGCCCCATGTTGGGTGTGGAGAAGACCTAAATATAAAATGTTAAAAAAAAAAAATCTTAAAAAAACTTGTTTATAATGAAAACAGTATTTATTATGGTAAATCTAGTTAACTCTACTGACTGTTAGTCATACGTAATGATAAAATTTCATCTTAGAGTTCTCACTTTCTCAGCTCCTGCATTTAGGAAAAGACATGAAGCCTATAAAATGAGGAAGATCAATGAAGAAAGAAAGGTACACACTTATTAGGATAAGTAGTAAAATAAAAAGGCATGTTCATCATTATGTAAAAATATCAGGAACTGCTTTCTTAACAAGTAATTGTGCACCTCTAACTAATAAGAATAGTTTTTAAAAAATTTTTTTAACATTCATTTATTTTTGAGAGACAGAGACAGAGCACAAGCAGGGGAGGGGCAGCGAGGGAAACAAAGAATATAAAGCAGGATCCAGGCTCTGAGCTGTCAGCACAGAGTCCAATGCAGGGCTCGAACTCACAAACAGTGAGATCATGTACTGAGCCAAAGCCAGATGCTTAACAAACGAAGCCACTCAGGCACCCCAAGATTTTTGTTTTTTATTAAGTGTCACATCCCTTTACCAGGCAGGCAGCAGTCTAATGACTAAAGAGACCAAAGAGAGGGCATAAATTAACATGTTAAATCCAAAGAGGAGAAAGCGAGAACTGAAAGTTTTCCAATTGAAACAGGTTCACATTTTTCTCATAAGAAGGCTCACATTGCTCTTATAATAAAACATTGCTGTTAGCTAACTATGACCTTGTGTCACATGAGGATCTAGCAGGCATGATCAGAATAGCTAGAAAGGACCAGAAGCAAAAACTCAAGTTAGGCAAGATCCTGTAAGCCAGTTAGTCAAAGAACACTAAGGGCTGGAAGAACCAAGAAAATACTACAGTAAGCTCTAGAAAATGTGAAGTTTGATCCAAAAAAGGCAAATGCTAGTGTTTTTTAATACTTTCTGGTATGTGAGAGCAGCCCATAGCAAATATATTAAGTAGCCAGAAGGCTTGATGTACAGGTGAGTAGAAGAAAGACATTACCTGCAGGGCATGAGAAGTGATGGTCTCCCTCACATTTCATTAATTACAAGAGAGCCAACCTACCCAAAGCTCAAATTTTGGCTAACTCCATAGTCACTTCTTACATTATTATGACTAAGTAAATATTTCTTATAATAACTATGTGGACAAACACACAAGTCAAGAATTTTACATTGTTTCCTTACTCATATGACTTTTTGCTTTTCCTCTAGTTAATAGTTTTTTCTATTTGCTAGTTTTTATCTAATTGCTTTTCACTTGCTAGTAATACTAATTTTGTCCTCATACCCATGCTCCAACAGATCTAACAAATGCCTGTCAACATTTTTTTTATCTTAAAACCTCAAAGACACCATTGTATCATCTATTAATTCCATCTTCTTTCCCTGGAAAACTTTCTTCTGCAGTTAACCATCTTCTATTTTCAATGTGGACTAATAGGCACCTTGATTTTCTAGGCCTAGCAGATCTTGTCATGAGACTTCCTTTTGATGCTCACTTGTGCTGGAATCTTTGTTTCCTGGCTCCCGTGCCTTTGTCTTTATTGGTTACCTACAGCATAGGTTCCAGAAGCTTTCTGAGAACATGCACATGGGAGGTAAAATTTTAAAGCCTTTGCATATCTGAAATATCTTTATTCTGTTCTTCACTCTTTGATTAATGGTTTGACTACACACAGAATTCTAGATTGAAAATTATTTCTCTGGGGGGGCGCCTGGGTGGCGCAGTCGGTTAAGCGTCCGACTTCAGCCAGGTCACGATCTCGCGGTCCGTGAGTTCGAGCCCCGCGTCAGGCTCTGGGCTGATGGCTCAGAGCCTGGAGCCTGTTTCCGATTCTGTGTCTCCCTCTCTCTGCCCCTCCCCCGTTCATGCTCTGTCTCTCTCTGTCCCAAAAATAAATAAACGTTGAAAAAAAAATTTAAAAAAAAAAAAAAAGAAAATTATTTCTCTGAAGAGAAATACACTGCTACACTATCTCCTGTAACCCAGCATTATTTGTCCAGAATTCTGTTAATATTTTGACTCACAGGGATACAACTTTTCCATAGCAGACAGACCTGCAGTTAATCTTCCTGTTTTCAGGTAATGCTTGACTTCTGCCTTTTCCAAAGAATAGAGCCTTTCAGGGGCTAGGAGCTTTGTGGAACAAAATTATCTGCTTCTTGTTGGTATATCCCTCCCTGCTCCACTTAATTTCTTCCTTCTAAATAAGTCAATTACCACTACTTTGTCTACTTTCCATCATATATACATATTTTGCTCTCTCATTTGCTATGCTTTCTTCTCTCCCATTTATCCTTGTGGACTAATTTTATTTTTATTCATTTCAGTGGAGATTTAGTAAGGAGTATTACCAATGAATATGCTAAGACTATGAATATGCTATTATCAAATCATTTCAACTAAATTAAAATATCCTGAGGGGAGGGTCTGGAAATTTGTTTGGGAAAAGGAAAAGCTTCAGGTGATTCTGGGACCAGTCAGATTTGGGAACCACTGTCCTTGCTCACTTATCTTCAAACTTCCTAAGACACCAGGAAACTAAAATCCTAACAGTTCTATTGTCCGCAAATTATCACTGGAAGGGAAGTAAGCTGACTGAGTAGACCTGTGAAAGAATCTGAGGAGGAAATGTCTGACCATTAATCTAATCATTAGTAAAGCTGAAAGTACAAACTTGAAAGTAATATGTAAAATCTATTGATCAGCAAAATTGTAATGTTAACATTATACTGGTCATAATGGAAAGGCCTAAATTGGCAATGGCAGGGACCAGATGGAATTTGGTATGTGAGGTACCAAGGCAAAAAAAATGCTTTGACAAAATCTGAGGCTTGGAAGGGAAGCCACTCCTCCTGCTCTTCTCCAGAATACACTGCTGATTACCCTCCTGATATATATAGCCACTTGTCCAGGGAAGACAGGTTGTAGATAGCCAGATACAGTCTTGAAGCACTATCCCAAGGCAGAAGGTGAGCACAAGACTCCAGAGAATGTCCAAAGTAGTCATGTAAACAAAATGTGTACCTTTCTAGAAATTGCTGGGCCCAGTGACCAGTGGGTGAAACCCTTGCAGGGATAAAGAGGCTGCCAAAAATAAACAGGTTACCAAAATAACTCACAACTGCTAGAGATAAAGTCCAGAGAAGGACAGTGGCTATACTAAACTCTAAAGGTGCTGCCATAGCAAAGCGCAGGTATATGGGCTGCATGAAGGGTTCTAAATCCTGTTTGACAGACAGCCATCAGAGTGCCTTTCAAGAAGGATCTTGCATGGATCCCAAGGCTTTTACATTAAAGCTGTAAAATAAAAGCTCTGGGCTCTGAAGCCCAGAGTGTAAGAGTGGGAGGAAGGTGGTAGGCTTTTATGAATAGGAAAGTAGCCCCTAATGAGGTTATATTTCAGTGTATTTTAATGTTTATTTATTTTTGAGAGAGAGTAGGGAAGGGGCAGAAAGAGAGAGAGAGCATGAGCAGGTGAGGGGCAGAAAGAGAGGGACACAGAATCTGAAGCAGGCTGCAGGCTCCAGGCTGTCAGCACAGAACCTGACATGGGGCCTGAACCCACGAACTGCGAGATCATGACCTGAGCTGAAGTTGGACACTAACCGACTGAGCCACCCAAGTGCCCCTATATTTCAGTGTATTTTAAATTCTGTTCAAACTCTAATCAGTCAGTGGTTCCCTATAAAGAGCTTTCCAGAACTGTGGAAGAAAGTCAGTACCCATTAACAGTGACCAGAAAGTTTTAACGCAGTTGGATGAGCCTAGATGTGACATCTTGTTTCAGACTCAGCTTTCCTGTCCTAGCTACTTGTATGGAACCACTACAAAGTCAAATCTTGCAAGTGAATAAATAAGATCCCCCCAGGCATGGTGGAGTTTATAACTTTTCCAAACACAGAGGTATTTCTCATTGATGACTTAGGTCTGAGAGTAGGAACCTCTGATCTTAAACAAAAAGCTAAGAATATTCTGTATTCTAGCTCTAATAAACAGTGGGAAGGAAAGGTACTATACAGGAGTAAGTTTTGGCACCACTGCTGTCCAGACAGTCCAGGTGGTAGGAATGGTCTTGACAGTAAATGGCTGGGTAGAGTCAGGGTAGAAAATATCCTGGGTCTGCAGAGCAGCGGGATGGATGTACTGGGATCACTAAACACGGGTGCTTCACTGCCTTCAGAGTGAGACAAAAGGTGTCAGACACATTAAAACCAAACCAAACAAACACAAAAAAACTTTGATAAAGTGACAGGAGATATTGAAGGCTCAAGAAACCACTGATCCTGCTACAGATGAGCAGGCAACAATCAGACTGTCTTTATGAACATCCCAAGGGAGTTCATACATTTTTGAAAATCAGGTTTCATTAACATTTACCCTTTACACATATTCCAATGGCTTTATTAGGAGCAAGTATCTGGTTTTAATGGTAGATTGGTTATGCATGAAATAATCTACTCATCATTCTTATTAAATATACTGGAGGGAAGGGGCGCCTGGGTGGCGCAGTCGGTTAAGCGTCCGACTTCAGCCAGGTCACGATCTCGCGGCCCGTGACTTCGAGCCCCGCGTCAGGCTCTGGGCTGATGGCTCGGAGCCTGGAGCCTGTTTCCGATTCTGTGTCTCCCTCTCTCTCTGCCCCTCCCCCGTTCATGCTCTGTTTCTCTCTGTCCCAAAAATAAATAAAAAACGTTGAAAAAAAAATTTAAAAAAAAATATACTGGAGGGAAGTGGATGGATCAGTTAATTACTATGGTTAAGTTTTTCTGCAAGTGCGTTCAAGTTCCCCAACTCTGGTTTCCTCAGAAAGAGTATTCTTTCTGTGACCAATGCTGAGGGTCATCCACAATTATAGCTGTCAAGTGTCTGTCCTACTCCTATTCTTTTTCCTTTTCCAACTTTCTTTAAATAAAACCCTACATAAATATCCAGTACATCAGAAAGATAGAGTTGCTCTTAATGAAGAGAGGTTAGAGGTAGGGTCTAGAACCCAACGCCACACCTATAATTCTTTGTAAAAAGACTTAGGACAAAACATTCATAACTCTGGATAAGAAGACAAATAGGTATATGAAAAATATCAAGCTCAATGGTAAAACCTTTCAAGGGCAGGAAGCTCATATTAATCGGTAACCTAGGGTCTAGCATATAGGTGACTGGGACAGAAGAGGTGAACAATAAATGCTTGTTCAAAAAATGAAGTTTGAAAGCTTCTTCAAGATTCCATCAAATTTCCTGAAAGATAAAACTATTGGGGCAGTTGTCTGAGCCAGCAGTGGATGAGCCAGTATAAACTATACATGTGTCTCTTAGAGACACTCAAACATATCAGGGCATATTAGGCCAAGAAGTTCATGGCATTCCTGATCAGGGATCAATAAAAAAACCTTGAGACCTTTTTGACTTGGGTATAAAGGACATTCATATGAAGTAAAGCCAGGAGGGGCCATGATCAAGCATTCTATTAACCAGCAGGCCATTATAATAAATGGCCCAGGGTAAAGCAGGCAAGAAATATAGTACAGAGAATGGGGAAGACAGGAAGCAGCAGGGAAGGAAGCAGGTCTAGGCAGGTAAATTTAACAGTGTGGAAGACCAGATTCAATAAGAACAAGAACAAAGGGGCAGAAAGCACTAATGCTGAGCAGTGAGCAGAGGCTGGCTATTCCCTGAAACATTTGTAAGATTGCACTCTACTGGTTTGTAGGAAGCATTGAGCATACAGATATTGACCACTACTGTGAGATGGAGGTGGAAGAACTATAGAGAAAACGCGATCCAGATGATGCAGTGGCAGAAGTACTAGTTGAATTCATAGACAACTTCCCAAGCAGAAGAGAAAGTGGAAAAAGAAATGTCTGCCTACCTAAGGCAAAATAGTTATGCATCTCTGCTGAACCTACTTACCTCTGACTTGCTGTTCTAGACTAAGGATGACTGCCACGGCCTGATGAAGAATAAGGAGTTTTGTTTGGGGTTTTTCACTCTTTAAATGGAGCTGACACATTCGACCAAGCTCTTTGAATGCCTCATTAATATCCCGCACACGTAAACGTTCTCTGGCATTGTTAGCCATACGCCTTTCCTTCTCCCTTTCTATCTTCTGTTCTGGGTTCAAATCCTCATCTTCATTAGTACTGCTAGAAAACAAAGTAAACAACAATGTCTATTAGATTCCCTATAAAATATGATGTGCTTATTATATAAAATCATAAAGTATAAAGATGGAAATGAAACTTATCTACAAATTTTACCAAACAGTAGTAACAATTATACTTAACATGATTATATGTATATCTTTCCAGTCTTTATTTTATGCACAGTTATATAGTTGAAATTATGCCACATATATTTTTAAAGCTTATTTATTTTGAGAGAGAGCGAGTGGGAGAGGGACAGAGAGAGAGGAAGAGAGAGAATTCCAAGCAGGCTTCGCACTGTCAGCACAGAGCCCTACGCAGGATTCAAACCCATGGAAGTGTGAGACCATGACCTAAGCTGAAATCAGGAATCGGACTCTTAACCAAATGAACCACCCAGGCGCCCCTACCACATAAATTTTTAAATGCATTTTCACTGTGCATTATAACATAAAGTCATCTCTATACCAGCACCACTCTTCATAAACATAATTTGAATGACTACATAATATTCTAGCACCTTGCTACTCAGACTGTGATCATCAGAATCAGCATTATCGGGAGCTTGTTAAAAACAAACTCTCAAGGGTGCTTGGGTGGCTCAGTGGGTTAAACATCCAACTTTGGCTCAGGTCATGATCTCACTGTTTGTGAGTTCGAGCCCCGTGTTGGGCTTTGTGCTGACAGCTCAGAGCCTGGAGCCTGCTTCTGATTCCGTGTCTCAGTCTCTCTCTTCCCCTCATCCGCTTGCGCTCGCTTGTTCTCTCTCTCAAAAATAAACAAACATTAACCCCCTTCCCCCAATAAACCCCCCCCAAGCCCCATAAACTCTTAAGTTCTACTGTAAGCCTACAAATTGGAAGTTACATTTTAACAAGATCCCTGGCTGGTTCATATGTACATTAAGGTTTGAGAAGCACTGTCCCAGTACACTAATGCATTCTAACTTGCCTAACCCATCTTCTTAAATATCTTCTAGCAGGCACCTGGTGAAAAGGAGAAAGACAAGCTAAAGGTAGAGGATGAGAGACGGATCTCAGAAAAGGACTACTTTTTGTTTCACAGAGAAATATCATCAGTGGCAATGATTTTAAAACATGGGTAAACTGGAACAATTTTTTTGAAGGACAAACTGGCAAAATATCCAAAGCTTTAAAATGTTTATTACATCTTGATCAGCAATTCCAACTTTAGAAATTCATCCTAAGGATATAATTAGAGATGTTGATAGGATTTTATGTAAAAATTGATCACACAATTATTTACTTTAGCAACTAATTGCAGTCCAATAATAGGAGACAGGTTAAATAAAGCACAGTACATCCAGACAACTACCTACTATGTAGCCTCTAAAAATTAAGCTTCAGACTATGCTAACTAAAAGATGCCAGACACAAGACTACATACTGTATGATTTACATGAACCTCTAGAAAAGACAAAACTGTAGCAATGGAAAGCAGATCAATGGCTGCCAGGGGATGGAATAATGGTACTGATTACCAAGGGGTATAAGGAAACTTTTTGGGGTGGTAGTAATATTCTCTATTAATATGGTAGTAGTTATTAAGACCATATAATTTGTCAAAGGACAAAAACTGTACACTTAAAATTGGTGTATTTTATTATATGTGAACTAAATTTCAATAAACCTGGCTAAAAACAAAAACAAAAAAAAAAACCATGTTTGAGAAAACTCAGGGACAGATGAAAATGTTAAAAATACACTGTTATATGAAATAAAAGTTGACATTATAAAACATATATTCAGTTTAGTTCCCATTTAAATTGTGTTTATGGAAAAAGAAATATTCCTTAAAAAGTAAACAGTGGTTAAATCTTGGTAGTAACGTTTCTTGCGATTTTTGTGTTCTGTATTTTCCAAATTTCTGTAGTGAAAATGGACTAAATAATCAGATAAAAAAATTGAGGATGCATTGGAATAACTTTTAGAAAATTCTATTTTATATCAGAAATGACCAACTGAGCAGAGTCTCTCAGAACCTTGAAATAATGTGCAAAGAATAGATGTTTTCTCTTCTCTAATAACCTTGAATACTGTAATAAAGGGTAAATACACAATAGATTTTTACAAGCTAATTGCCAAAAATTATGTAAAAGTATTCTTTTGATAATAGGGAATCCCTAGCTCTTTTACTTCAAAGGAACCTTTACAGGTCATCGAGTCCAAAGGTTTCCAAATGTGGTTACCATCACAATCTTCAGGGGCACTTGAAAAATAAAGGTTTCATAGGTCCCACTACAGAGGACGTTGATACAGTGAGCTTAGGTTGGTGCCAAGGCAACCTGTATTTCTAAAATGTTTTAGGATTCTGGGGCACCTTGGGTGGTTCAGTCAGTTGAGCATCAGACTCTTGATTTCTGCTCAGATCATGATCTTGCAGTTCATGGGATCCAGCCCCCACATCTGGCTTGTGCTGGCAGTACACAGCCTGCTTGGAATTTTCTCTCTCTCTCTCTGGCCCTCCCCTGTGTGCACGCACACATGCGCTCTCTCTCTCTCAAAATAAACAAACAACAACAACAACAAAAAACTTACAAAAAAAAAAGTTTCAGGATTCTATGTAGTGGGGCTGAGAACTACTGCTAGATCCAGAGAAATCAGAGATTTTCTCAGGATCATATGGCTAATTAGTGGCAGTGTAATGACAAGGACCTAGGTTGGTATTCCATGGAGGCAAGCCTACACCACATACCTAAAATTATCATGATAACAGTAAGTACAGTACCTTTACTGAGTATGTACTGCATGCAACAGAGTGTGTAAAGGGCTTTATATGCATCATTTTTCAGTTTATTTCCATAAGAATCCAGCAATAGAAAGTCTCTTTTCAGAGAAAAAGAAACTAAAGTTCAGAGAGCTTTAATAACTTGTCCAGGGTCATGCGGCAGGTATGTGATGGAGCCATAATTCAAACCCAGGTAAGCCTAACCTATTAATTATTATTAATTACTAAGCGTTGCTGTTATTAGTAACCTGTTTTACTGCCTTCTCAATTTCTGATGATCTATAATAGGTTTAGTAACCTATGGCCCATGATCTGGCTCCTTGTTTTCTTACATAAAATTTTATTGGAAGAGTCATGCCCATTTGTTTATGTACTGTCTGGATGCTTTTATTATAACGGCAGAGCTGAGTAGTTGTGATAGACACCAAAAGGCCCACAAAGCCTAAAATAGCTATCATCTACCCTTTCCACAGAAAGTTTGCCAAACTCTGACCTATAAAATGAGAAGATGCAAACTGTTTCTTTCCAAATTCTACTTGAATAACAAAACCATGAAATAATTAAGATGTCTCAAAGGAGTGGTCTCTGGATTCCGTGACCCAATTTTTACTTCTTGCCCCTATACAACTGAATGCAATGCTTACTAAAATGACAGTATTAGAATCTTAAGGTTTAATTTTTAAATTAATTTTCAATTTAATGTTTTTAGTTTTATCTACCATACTTAACACAATCTCCTTTGCACCCTAATTTAATGCAAAGAACAATGTTTTAAATATCTTTATGTGATAAATACATATCATTGATACTAAAAAACAGGATATGCCAAAAAATATACCATCTAAATTTAATGTAGAAGTAGAAGAAAAACCTAAGGGAAGAATTTGGAATTCATTTGAAACTAATGAACTATGTGTCAATATCCATGCTATAAGTCAAGTCCAGTTTCTAGAAAACCTGCCCCAACAACGTAAGTCCACCTTTCTATACTCTTCTCAAATTATTGTTTAAACCAGGAGTTGGCAAAACTTCCTCTGTAAACCAGAAAGTAAATATTTTCAGCCTCATGGGCATTTGGCCCTGCTGCAACTACCCAAACCTGCCATTGCATTGGGAAAGCAGTCACAGATAATATGCAAATGAATGGTATGTGACAGTGATCCAGTAAAATTTATAAAAATAGGCAGTGAGCCAGATTTGGCCCAGAGGCCATTGTTTGCTGCCCTCTAGTTTAAATCATACAATAGAGTTTTCTTATATACACAGCCTTAAAATAATATATTCAAATATTGATGTCATGTACCTAAATGTCTACAATGGATAATTTTACTTGTTTTAATTATTTTGTCCTCTAATTGAAGAGAGAGATGTAATTCTCTTTATTTATTTTTTTTTTAGTTTATTCATTTATTTTGAGAGAGAGAGAGAGAGAGAATCCCAAACAGGCTCTACACCATTAGCACAGAGCCTGTGGTGGCGCTTGAACCCACAAACCATGAGATCATGATCTGAGCCAAAACCTAGAATCAGACACTTAATCAACTGAGCCACACAGGTGCCCTGAGATGTAATTCTTTTTTATACGGAGTTCCTAAAATACTGTGGGGTATGATGGAAAACATAATTTTGGAGTCAGCATCATATGCCTCCCTTTTTAGGGATGTTGTGAGCACTAAATGAGGTAACATATATAAAGTCCCAATATAGTATTTAGAACATATCTGACACTTAATAAATGCATGGCACCCTTCAATTTTCCAAGTATTTTCACCCATGGCAAGTGAGTGCAATGTAATACCTGGATGGTAACAAATACCTTGTTCTGCCTCTAGATGAAACCTTGATATCTTTTTGGGAGGATTCATCATCTGATTTCATGTCATCTGATGAAGGAGGTTCATGTAGGTTTTCATCTTTCTCTTTGTTTTCAGTCTTGATTTCTGCTGGAACAACAGTTCCAGACTGACTTTGCAAGCCACCTAACAAAGAGGTAAAGAAACAAAATAAATGTCCAGAATTGGAACTAAGATAGTAGAAAGCTTTCTAGATGATAAATGCCCTTACTTGTTACAGGACTCTGATGGAAATCTGAAAATGTAGGGTAATACACTATTCAGGTTGGAAAGAACATATACACATACCTTAGAGAAAATGATTTCTAAATCATCTGTATTTAAATTTTTTTTTCATGTTTATTTGCTTTTGAGACAGACGGAGACAAACACAGAGTGCCAGTCAGGGGAGGGGCAGAGAGAGGAGACGCAGAATCTGAAGAAGGCTCCGGGCTCTGAGCTGTCAGCACAGGGCCCCACGTGGGGCTCAAACCCATGGACTGCGAGATCATGACCTGAGCCGAAGTCAGACGCCCAACTGACTGAGGCACCCAGGCGCCCCTAAAGCGCGTATTTAAAAGAAAAAGTCTGACCTTGATGGTCATTCTGACACTTACTTTAAGGCACTATTTAAGAAATGAACTAGGATGAGAAACTTGATGCAGTTTAGAAACTGACTTCTAAGATGCTAAGGTAAATAAAGGAAGTAAGTTGTAACATTTTTTTCAGATAAATACAATAAAATGGGTGTCATGGTTAATTATACCTGGGAAAACTTTATTTTGGTGGTCTTAACATTAGTTATATATTTGTACTTATATTTATATAAATTATCTATTTACATAAGTTATATATTTGTACTTAACATTTATGACAGTTTGTTTCTAACAGAATTGTCTGTTTCTCGAGTTGAATTATAATATTCTAAATAATAGCTACCATCATTTATAGCTCTCAACGTATTTGGAATAATTTCTCACGGCTTTTTGGGACCCTGAGGATTTAGTCATGAGGGGAAGTGATAAGAAAGAGAGACATAACAGGGGCGCCTGGGTGGCGCAGTCGGTTAAGCGTCCGACTTCAGCCAGGTCACGATCTTGCAGTCCGTGAGTTCGAGCCCCGTGTCAGGCTCTGGGCTGATGGCTCAGAGCCTGGAGCCTGTTTCTGATTCTGTGTCTCCCTCTCTCTGCCCCTCCCCGTTCATGCTCTGTCTCTCTCTGTCCCAAAAATAAATAAAAAAAAACGTTGAGAAAAAAAAAAAATTAAAAAAAAAAAAAAGAAAGAGAGACATGACAGAAGCAGAAGAATGTAAGACGACCAGTAAGTACTGAACAGTTTGCATGCGGTTCCATCCATCAAGAAGTATCTACAATTGGCCCAGCCAAATGGGGCAATTGGAGCCCTAAATATCTATCCTCTGCATTCAGTAGCACTACCGTTTGGAATTCCCCCACCTAAGATGACTTTTGATTCACAGATGTCAATCTGCTTGTAAAAAAAGACGACAGTGTTCCAAGTGTTATTTATCTCTGTATACATTACTGCTGAAAGCCAACAATACAGTTACCTCTGTAATTTTCTTGTGTTTTGTGGTTCAAATCTGAGCTTGAAGCAGTGACTGTACTAGACAGGACTGAATGATTGCCATTGAGACTGACAGAGTCTTCTCGATGAGTTCCAACCTAAAGTAAAAAAAAAAAAAAAAAAAAAAAAAAAAAAAAAAAAAAAGTTAAGACTGTTCAGAGGCAATAATTGTTCAAAATCTTTTAATGGGTTTAATAGAGAAAATATCTACCTGAATTTAGCAACTTTTTTGGGATGCTAGTTTTCTCATGTTTGGATTTCCTTTTTTTAATTTTTAATGTTTTATTTTTATTTTTGAGAGAGAGAGAGAGAGAGACAGACAGACAGACAGACAGACAAGGAGGGGTAGTGGCAGAGAGAGAGGAAGACACAGAATCCAAAGCAGGCTTGAACCCATGAACCATGAGATCATGACCTGAGCCAAAGTCAGACACTCAACTGACTGAGCCACCCAGGTGCCCCTGATTTTTGGATTTCAAAAGACTTGACAGACTACTATAGATTGTTTTTTAAAAAAAAAACCAAAACTTCTTTTTAACATTTATTTACTACTGAGAGACAGAGAGACAGAGAGCATGAGCAGGGATGGGGCAGACAGAGGGGGAGACACAGAATCCGAAGCAGGCTCCAGGCTCTGAGCTGTCAGCATAGAGCCTGACATGGGGCTCAAACTCACGAACTGTGAGATCACGACCTGAGCTGAAGTCAGATGCTTAACCGACTGAGCCACCTACGCGCCCCTATAGATTGCTTTTGAATCAAAATATTTACATTATAAAATTCCAACTTTCAAATGTCGTATCCTACAGAAGGTTGTTGTGTGAAGCAAATGAACTAGACAGACAAAGCACTCTGTAAGTCATAAAATGCTACACATTATAGTATCTATTAATAAACCTACATCATTCTGATCATGTATTTCATATACCACCTAAGTATGAATTTGCATTTAAGAAAATATTGCTATATTCCAAGTAATATTATTTATTTATACTCTGGTATACTCTTTTTCTCACACACACACACACACACACACACACACACACACACACACACACACATAGTGTCTTGTTTTTTCTTCCTCTGACTCCCTCAAAAACCTTAAAAAAGCAGTCTATGGGTGCTCAGTCAGTTAAGCATCCAACTCTTCATTTGAGTTCAGGTCATGATCTCGTGGTTTATGCGATCGAGCTCTACACATTGGGACACTCTCTCTCTTGAGCGTGTACACGCTTTTGCTCTCTCAAAATAAATATACATGAAAAAAATGAAATTAACTTAAAGCAGAAGTTCTGGGGGCACCTGGGTAGCTTATAGTTAAGCATTTAGTGTCTGAGTCTTGATTTTGGCTGAAGTCATGATCTCACGGTTCATAAGATCAAGCCCTGGGTCAGGCTCTGTGTGGACAGTGTGGAAGGAACCTGCTTGGGACTCTCTCTCCCTCTCACTGCCCTTCCCCTGCTTGTGCTCTCTCTCTCTTAAGATAAGTAAATACACTTAAAAAAAAAAAAAGAAGTTCTGCACTGCCAAGCAACAAAAATGCCATATAATTTTTATTGTTTTAGTCAAATTCCATAAGGTAAGGCATGCAAATACCATCAAGTATTTAAGCTATAGTAGTATTTTTAGAAAAACTGGTAAAAAATGAAGCTTTTTGTTAGAACAGTAGCACATGTGTCATCTACAAGATTAAGCCTTTAATTAAAGAGGTTTATTGCCTGGAGTTGTACATGAGAATCACTGTTTTTCAATAAATCCTTCAATCCCAGTAAACTGCTTTGTTTGAATCTCTCTTCAGTAATTAATATAGCTTTTATCTTTCATGACTTTGTATGGATTTTACCTTAAGAGGTATAAATACCCCTATGCAAGTTTACCCTTTGGTTTCCTGTAAGCTACACAAAAGGAACCAAAGCAAAGTTTTAGGCAATACAGGCCATTTGATACTGGACCTGATTATAACATGTCAGGTCTTCTACCACACTTTCTATTTTAAGTTGACTTATTTTATTTGAGAGAGAAAGTGTGAGTGATGGAGGAGCAGAGAGACAGGGAGAGAGAGAGAGAATCCCAAGCAGACTCCGCAAATCAGTGAGAAGCCTGATATGGGACTTGAACCCATGAACCGTGAGATCATGACCTGAGCTGAAGTCAGATGCTTAACCAATGGAGTCACCCAGGCACGCTTTCTACTGCACTTTTAAAGAAATGTCTGTTTTCCACCCTTATTCTTTGATGTAGTTAAAAAACAACAACAACAACAACAACAACACCCCACCTAGTGTATTCCCTATCTACTTCTAAATTTATTTGAGGATTAGTCATTGCTGAAGATTAGTTGGCTTTCTTTGCTTGCTATGAACTACTCAATGACCTAAGGAGAAGGTCAGTTCAAAAATCCCATTTATAAAAATAAATATAGTATAAATACAATATACAGCTATATAGTTGCAAATTCTTTGAGACTCTAAAAGCCTAGGCCTATTCTATAGATAGATATTACCATGACAATTTTGACTGGCTGAAGAAATCCCACAGGATACAGTAAAAGCTAAGAATTCTGTGTTTGTATTTATAATGTGAACTAAAACTTCCTGTGATCGTTGGTAATATGTGCTGAATTTTGTTCTTCCCTAGTATTTTGAGCTATCATACCAAGTAATTTAAAAGAAAATAGACTGTTAGTTAATATCCAAAATCTATAAAGAACTTCTCAAACTCAACACCAAAAAACCAAACAACCCAGGTAAGAAATGGGCAGAAGACATGAATAGACACTTTTCTAAAGAAAACATCCAGATAGCTAACAGATACATGAGAAGATGCTCAATATCACTCATCATTAGCAAAATACAAATCAAAACCTGATGAGATACTACCTCACACCTGTCAGAATGGCTAAAATTAACAACACAAGAAACAACAGGTGCTGGCAAGGATGCAGAGAAACAGGAACACTCTGGAACTGTTGGTAGGAATGCAAACTGGTACAGCCATTCTGTAGAACTGTATGAAAGTTCCTCAAGAAAATAAAAATAGAACTACCTTACAGACCAGCAATTGTATTATTAGGTATTTACCCAAAGGATGCAAAAATACAGAATCGAAGGGGTACATG